TCAGAATGGTAAGTGAGCATTGACATTGAGTTAAAGTCATTAGCTGTCCTGTTAGTCTCTAAAGAGAATCAGCCTGTCCTTGCACACTTCAAAGCCAGGTATCGACTTCTCTCTAGCTATGAAAGTCCTGAATGACATCTTGTTCTAGTGGAAGGCTGTTTTGTGTACACTGAAAATCCATCCCTGAGTATCGAGTCTCTTCGCCAGATCCTCTGGACAACTTGGAGCAGCTCCTCCATCAGCACCTGCTGCCTCGCTTTGCACTTTATGTTATGGAGGCGGCTTCTTTCCTTAAACCTCTTGAACCAGCCTGTGCTACCTTCAGTTTTTCTCCTGCAGCTTCTCACCTCTCACGCCTTCATAGAATGCAGGAGCATTAGCTGTGGATTAGGCTTTTGTTTATCGGAATGTTGAGGCTGGTTTGATCCTCTATCCAGACCAGTCAAACTTTCTCCCTAGTAGCAATAGGAAGTTTTGCTTTCTTATCATTCACATGTTTACTGGAATCGTACTTATAATCTTCTTCAAGAACTTTCCTTGGCTAACTATTGGGCGTAAGAGGCTCAGTCGTCAGCCTAGCTCATCTTTCACCATGCCTTCCTCACAAAGCACGACCATTCCTAGTTTTCCACATGCAGTCACTGCAGAAAGACAGCAGCATGGGCTAGAGGAAGGGGGCCGCAAACTTTTAAAATAGGGGGCCAGTTCACTGTCCCTCAGACTGTTGGAGGGTCGGACTGCGGGCCCTGGGACCAGTCGGCTGCTAAGCAGGACAGGTAGCAGTGGCAAAAACACCTGGCAGGCCGGATAAATGTCCTAGGCAGGCTGCATGTGGCCTACGGGCTATAGTTTGAGGATGCCTGGGCTAGAGGAAGGGGCTGCCTTTGATTTCAGAGAAGTGGTAGAGGTTGAGATGCAGCATTTTTAGTCTTGCTGACAAGCGAGTTGTGTGAGTGAGGTGAGGAAGGGCGGGGAGGACCCCCCGGCTTTGCCCTGAACACTGGAGTGAGTGAGGTTGTCATGCACAGAGATACTATAAATGAATAGGTCTGGGGGTGGAAGATAATGAATTCAGCTGGGCATATGGTAAGTCTGAGAGGAAGATATCCAAGTGGATGATAAAAATTGGAGAATCATTCGTTACTCCAGAGATTGTCCATGGAGGTGATTTGACACACACACACATACACACATCCTCCCAGGGATAGCTGGCAATGTCTAAAGACATGTTGGACTGTCACCATAGGGGGCATTACCCATATTTAGCATTTAGGGACTAGCGATGCTGCTTAAAATCCTACAATACACAGAACAGCCAAGAACTATCTAGCCCCAAACCTCAGTAGTGCTGACATTGAGAAACTCTGAACTAGTCCCTAGGACTTAAAGCCACAGAAGCGAAGAAGAGGGCCCAGAACGAAGCCCCACAGAACCCCAGCCTTAGAAGCCTTAGAGAAAGGCAGGAGCCTGGAGCCTGAGCAAACAGAGAAGGGGCAGTAAGACAGAAGGACAGTGTCGGAAGGGAGGCAGAGAAAGGGGTGCTGATTCCAGAAGGTATCAAGAGCTGCTGAGAGGCAAGCAGTGGCCAGCAGTGACCACTGGATTCAGGGTGTCAGAGGCCATTGGGACACTGTGCCTGGGCAGTATCGGTGGAGTTGTGGGAGTGAATAGCTGTCTGGGCTGAGTGAGGAGTGTGTTCTTGAGAGGGGACAACAGGGCAGCAGCCACCAGAGCCTTCTAGAAGCTGGGCTGCCAGAGAGAAGCAGAGATGTGGAGACACCTGCAGAGGATGTGGGCTGAAGAGATTTGGTCCGATGGAGAGAGCCGAGACCTGTAGATGCTGGGGGGCTAGGGGGAGGGGAAGACTCCAGAGAGAGACACTGGAGAAAGCAGTACTGAGGTGGTGTTGGCACCTCCTGCAGGGGCCAGCTAGAGAGTGCCTGCTCAAATGCCACATCCCAGGGGCCTCTGTGCCACTTGCATCCCAGTCCTGTCCAGGACAGACTGGCCTGATGAAAGAGAAGGGGCACCCATGGTATGGGCACAGCTGTGGGAGCACTTAGCTATTGGGGGTGAGAGGGGAAACATCTTCACCCCGGGTTTGAGGAGGGCTGGGGGGCTGCCTTGTAGAGAAACACAGCAGGGCAGAGTCTTTTTTCTTGTTATTATGTTTCACCTCCCTGAGATTTTTTTTGCTTTCAGAAAAATTCTCTTCAGAGTTCCATCCAAGACCGACTTAAGCATCAAAGCATTTTTCCCTACAGAATAACTATACTCCATCTACTGAAATTCATTTTAAGGCCAGCCCACAGAAAGGTAAGAAAACTATTACAGAGGCCATGGAAGATGTTTGGAGAGGCAACTGGACTCAGAAAACAAAGAAGGGTGGAAAACAGGCAGACACATGTGGGTGTAATGATTTATACAGAGTAAATCGGACAGCAGTTTGTAAAGTAAAATTGAGGGCAATCACAGAAAAGTTTGTTCAATTTTTCTTGGAGGTCCCCAAATTCACAAGTGTTAAAGAGTTACGGTATTCACAGAAAGAAAGTCTCTTAAAATCAAGAGAATTTTTTTAATCCTTTACAAGAGATGCCCCCAGCTGTTCTTTAATAATTACTGTCTCTGATTTTCTTCTCTTAGTAATTCACCAAGACAAGCATCTTCCGCCTTCAAAGTCTTGGAAAATCACAATCCCTGACAAGGAGCAGTTTTCCGGCCGCACTTCACATTGGCACCAGGAAGAAGGGAAGGCAGGGCCGGTGGTTGGGGATTCCTCCCTTATCTGGCCACAGCTCCCACTGTCACACTCTTCCTGGGATTATTTGAGTCAGGGCAGAGCTGTGTGGCTTCTGTGAGGCTCCATGCTCATCACTCAAGGTCTTGAAAACTGTGTCCTGACTGGCAGCTACTTCAGAACTCCAGAGGTTTGGAATCCTCCAAGATCCTGGAACCTCAGCGAGGATCACATTACCATGGGAGGAGGGAGGCTTTAGGTGTGCTGCGGCAGTGGTCACCAACCAGGCCTGCAATGGCATTTGCTAATGGAAAGACAGTTTCTTCAAGAGGTGGTTACTTAAAAGCTTGTCATCGCTGCAGAGAATAACACATGTTTACAATTGTGAGGACACCTGGAAATCTCGAAGCACGGTGGGGTGGGGGCACCGGCTGCCGCATCTGAAAGAAGCAATAAACTGCTCCCTCCTGGGAAACAAGGGACGCTCCCGAGTACTTCCTATGCCCGCCCCCACTGCCCCTACAGCGATGGGAAGTGTTAAATAGCAGGGGGGCAGGTTCTTAAAGGTACTTGGGATTCCCCACAACTAGCATTCCTTTGACCACAGTTAGAAATCTTTGGGTAAGGGTGGAAATGGAAGGGGGTTGCAGTCCAGCCCAGTCAAAGAGCCCAACGAACTCCATGAAGCGTCCCCTGAGCACCTTTGGGGCCGTCGCTGGGGATTGCCTTCAGCCCATCCACCTGACGGGCTGGACAGTCAACCCTGAAGCATAATCTCCCTTTCTTATGGAAGGGAGGCATTTGTTAAATTGTCCTGTAAATTACTTGTTTTATATAAAATTGGGGATTACAATCTGGGAGGCCTAAGACTACACCACCACCAATTGGCTGACTCAAACCTTGATTCCCAACCCAAACTCTTTGGCCTTAACCCGCATACCTCCACCTCAGCCAGAATTCGGGGAGGATTGGACCTTTGGTTTTTTAAATGAATTGAAATTAATTCTCTCTGAAGATCCACAGCCCCAGGCACTGTTAGGGAGTGCCCCAGGCGTCTCTACAGACTCTGCCACCACGAGACTATGGGGCAATGTTTGGGGACAGGGCGCTCTCGGTGCCCCTGAACCATGATCATAAAGTTTTTGCCTTTATGCTCAGGTGGCCCTCACTCAGAGGCCGGAGTTCTTCCCAGGCACCCCAGCCAGGCACAGCGGGTACCCGGGGCCTGTCCTCACTGCCGAGCCGGTGCAGCCCGGGAGTCCAGCACCTGGTGAGCTGGATATCTGGACCAGAAAACAGGAGAGGCCGAGAGCCGGCAGCGTGAAGAGCCGGAGCTGTGGCACCCGGGTCCGCAGCAGGACTCTACAGTTCATGTCTGGCCGCCCGCGGAGGTGTTCCTGTTGGGGGCTGATCCCTGGACAGCCAGCAGCGAGGGTGCAGCCCTCCACACTCCATACCAGAGGCCACAACTCACTCCGACAAGCCTGGTGGCGTCCTGAACTCCCAGGACCTGGGGGAAGCAAAGGCTCCCGTGGACAGTTAGGGCATGAGGGGCTCTGGCGGCCTCCGCGCTGATGCCAGCCGGCGGCCTTCTCACACCTGTAGCGCGAGGTCTCCGGGGGATCCCAGGGCGTCTGTCCACGCCAGGCCCCGCGCTCTCGGCCGCATCCCCTTCCTTTGCAGCCCCAGCCTCGCAGCCCCCACGAACTTCACCGCGATCTCCTGCGCAGTAAGTCTCCACCCAACTCACAGCCAGGTGGCCCTGATGACACGGTGGCCCAGGTGAAGCAGGTTTCGGTAAGGGGGCGGCCCGATGGAGGGAGCTCCCACGTCGCAACCATGGGACGTGGGACTGACTGACCAAGGCGGTCGGGGATGCGGGGTCCAAGAGGCTAGATGAGGCTGGCATCTATAAGATCCCTGGGGACCCAGGGTACCTGTGGCCAAGGCCGCTAAAGATTCAGGATCGTGACGCATTCTACCGGGAGGAGGCGGCAGGTCTGGGTCCTGTCAAGATCTGGGCGGGCGGGGCAGGCAGAAAACTGACCCTCAGGCTGGGACCGGGACTTTGCTCCTCCAAACTAGCCGGGGAGGAGCTCGCCACCGACACTCTCCCTGGCTCTGCCCCCAGAAGCATTTAAAGGGCGGAGAGTTGGGCCGGGCTAGCCGCACCTGGGCGCTGCTAGCAGCCCCGCCAGGCTTGTGGTCTATGAGCACCGGGGCACCGCACGCAACCTTTGGCCCAGGCCCGGAAGTGGCTGGCATGGCCACATACTGCGATGGCCTGGGCTCCTGTTCGACTCCGCACTGCGGGGCCGGGGCCGCGAAGCACCACCCGGGGTACACGCAAGAAGATGTGGGCGCTGTGGGCGGTGGCCCGCACCTGTGGGTGAACGCGCCCGTACTCAGCCCGCCATCATACACGTCGGGCCCTGCGCCCACGCCGCCCTATGTGGCCCCGGGCCAGCTCCTCGGCGGCCCGGGCGGCCTGGCTGGTGCAGACTTCGCGTGGCTGGGCGTCTCGGCCCAGCAGGAGCTGCTGAGGCTGGTGCGGCCGCCCTACTCATACTCGGCGCTCATTGCCATGGCCATCCAGAGCGCGCCCCTGCAGAAGCTGACGCTCAGCCAGATCTATCAGTACGTGGCCGGCAACTTCCCCTTCTACAGGCGCAGCAAGGCGGGATGGCAGAACTCCATCCGCCACAACCTGTCGCTCAACGACTGCTTCAAGAAGGTGCCCCGCGACGAGGACGACCCAGGTAACCGCGGCGCACCCGTCCAAGGCTTCCCGTCCCCAGTCCGCGGGCACTCGGGGTGCCCAATCACCCCAGGTTGCGGTTGCAAAGGAGGAGGAAGAGGGGAGAAGGGAAGTGCTTGGCCGGGACAGGCTCCTGGAGGGCTGCAGACCCCGCAGGCCCTGACCACCAGTCCCGGGCACTCTGGGGTTCTAAGTCTCCGCTAGCTCCCTTGGAGGAAGAAGCCAGAGAGTTATCAGGTCACCTTGGGAGTGACCTCTGAGCCTCGGTACCCATCCCTGTAAAGTGGGGCGACGACTGCCTACCCTAATGATTGGTAAAACAAATTGGACGCCCAATTGGAAAGCGCTGAAGCCAACATAGAGGCCAGGCACGTCTGTTCTGCCCCACTGGCAGAGCGCCTGGAGGAGCTCCCAGGTCCCCGCGGACGTTCTCTCCAGCCTTGAACTTAGGTGGGGCTCGGAATTTCCTAGGGGTTCTTTCCTCGATCTTTCTGGAATCCCGTGTCCTTCCCAGTCCCGCTGTGAGGGCCCATCTGGTCCAGAGTGCCACCTCAGGGTTTGGGATGGGAATGAGGGCTCAGGAACGTCTTGGGGGGCCAGTGGGCGAATCTCTCTGAAGTTGACCGCCGCTCAGCTCATTGCCATGGCCATCCAGAGCTCAAACTTTCTGAACTGGTTCTTGGTCCGTCAAAGCTCAAACTTTCTGAACTGGTTCTTTCTCCTGCAGGTAAAGGCAATTACTGGACCCTGGACCCAAACTGTGAGAAGATGTTTGATAACGGGAACTTCCGAAGGAAGAGGAGGCGGCGAGCGGAAGGAGATGGGGCCGCGCTCTCGGCAGCCCGGAGCCCAGGAGCAGCCGAGGGGTCCGCGCTGGAGTCCCCGGGCGCGGCCTCCCCAAACCTGCAGCCCTCTCCATCCCCGCCCGCGCCTGAGGCCTCCACCTGCTTCTCCAGCTTCGCTTCCACCATGGGCGCCCTGGCTGGTGGCCTTGGCGCCTTCCCGGGGGGCCTCGTGGGAGACTTTTCTTTCGGGAGGCGGATGGCGGTCGCTACCCATGGTCCCCACGTCCCGGGTTCCGCTCCTGGCTTTGCCTCTGGCTGCCAGACCGCGGCCACCGGCTTCCGTGTCAGTCACCTCCTTTATAGCTCTGAAGGGACCGAAATTTGAAGGGGACTAGGGATTGTCCAGAGGTGCTGGGCTCAGGCCTTCCGTTCCCTCTGGTGACAGCCCGCTTGTGGGCACCAGCGCCGCGGTCCTCAGTGCGGCCGGCAGACGGTAGCTGGGCTGAGTGGCGTGCACCCCTCGGCCGGGGGACCATTCAGACCCGCGAGAGCGTGCCCCTCATCCAGGGGACCGTTCAGACCCGGAGAGCGCTCGTCCCTGCTCCACCTCTAGGTTCAGCCCACCAAGGCCTCTGGAATCTGCGCGCTCCAGGGATCCTCTGCCGAAGAACGACCGGCTGGCGCTCAGCCCTACTCTAGCTTTTCCGAGAGGAGCCTTCTTTGTGCTGGTGGAAGGAGGGTGGGCTGCAAGGGCGGCCCGGGGCCCCTCCGTGACCGTTTTCCATCTCCACTCGGCCTGCCCCACCTGGATCAGGGTCTTCCCTTGATGCTCCAGCGAGGCTGTGGCCGGAAGCTTGGGAGCAACCTCGGGGGCCAGGTGGGCAAGGAGCTGCGGTGCCTGGGACACGGGACTGTTGGAACTGAGCTCCCTGTAAGGAGGAACTTTCCAATGGAGGGAGGGAGAAGGGCTGCAGGAAGGAGTGATGCCGGCTCCCTTCCTGTCACTCAGCTCTGGGCCTCTGTGACAGTGCTCTAGGACAAGGTGGACAAGACGCAGGATCTGCGTCTCCACGGTGGGAGCGGTGCAGTCCTGGGAGGTAGGGATAGGTCCAGGTTTGCTCTTTACCCGTCTACCCTAGACGTGCTCCCAGGAGGCCGGGAGACAAGCCCACTCCTGTTCTGGTCTTTCTTCTCAGGCTCCCTCTTCTTGCCCCCAGTTCAGGCAGGCTGAATTTAACCCCTCCCCTGCTCTCATTTGCATTTACTGGGAAGGCCTCTCTGTGCAGGAGTCCACAGTCACAGGGAAGAGGAATTTGGGGCTCTGTAGAGCCAGAAATCCTAAGGACCCCAGTCCATTGCCATGTGTCCTTGTGGCATCTGGCACTCCAGGAGATGTGGGCTTATGTCAGGTGACCCCTCACCTCTGCCTGGGAGGAGAAGGAGGCAGAGGGCAGAGGTGCCTTCCCTGGAGAGAGCAGAGAGTAGAGGCTGTTAATTTAAACTGGGGAGGCGGGTTTAGGGAGCCTGTGTGGCTTACACCCTCCTCCCCCTTCCTGGTGCAGAATTTCCTTGATTCATCTCTGATCTGCCTCTGGTGCTAGAAATGAGGCCAGACCTGAGACCTTCCCTCCCGGAGCAGCCTCTGCAGAGGTCTTGATGGAAGGGGGGAGGAAAGGGAGGGAGGCCCGGGAAGGAGGATAGACTGATCAGAGTCGGGTACATGGAGCTGTGTGTTTCACTGGGGGTGGAGGCAGTGGCTCCTGCGTCTTCAGTGTGGCATCCCTGCTGCTGCCTTCCACGAACAGGTGAGCAGGTGCTGTTGTTACCAGGCTTACGACAAACCCATAATTACTCTTGGAGAAACACTCCCCAAATATAATGCAATTAAAGAATGCCTGAAAAGGGAAAGAAATTCCTTAGTTTATTGTTAAAATCTCTTGAAACTATTTTCCCTGAATAAAACACTGAAAACAAAGGCCAAGACATGTAGCTTGCACGTATATTCTGTTTCGTGTAAGAATCCCACCATTATCACCAACACCGCACTGCAGGCTCTGCATTTGCAGGAAAATTTGAGATGGTTTTCTCTAATTAAACTTGACAATAGTGGGAAAATGTGATGTATAATTTGAAAGTGGAGATTTCAGAAAATCAGCGACAAATATGGAGGTAAATGTACATGACAGCTGTGGGCTTGCTAAGAAGTTGGTGGGAAGCTGCTTTATTTTTCTTTTAACAATAGTTATTTGGCTAAAATTGAGGGGGAAAGCCTTTTAAAAAGATCTTTCCCTTTTAAGTCGTTTGCCTAGACATCAATTTGTGGTGTTTGAAAGTTGCACACGTTCATCCAAAACTTTATACCATTAATAGTAATGGGATCCTCAAATAGAGGGACCTTCATGAGAAAAGCAGAGCTAAAAACAAATCCAGCAGTGCAGGGTATTTGGAAATTGGAGGATCCGGTGTCAGACGGTGCCCACCCTTGTCCATGTCACCCGTGTCTGGGTGTGTGTACGGGTGGAGTGGGGCCAGGCTAAGGAAGTTCACAGGCCCAGCACCAGACTCATCCCAGTGAAGCATTTTCCCAGAGGAACAAAATTGCTGAAATCAAAACAGAAACCATCACACAGCAGGTGGTAATCACTTTATAGTTAAACGTAGCCAAATAATTTCTTCTAGCCAGGACTGTGAACTTGACCATAGTCCCTAGGGCAAGCTGCTTGTGGGCAGCCACGGACCTGCTGTTGTTGGTCAGAGCAGGGCAACGCTGCCAGGAGGCCAGGAGAATGCTCCCACCAGGGATCTGGACCCCACAGTGGCAGTAGCACGTGGGCCCCAGCTTCTCCACTGCTCTGTCCCTTTGTTGCCTTTGAAATCATGAAGCAAACTCTAAATTATTTTTAAACTAATTGTGGTCCTCCTACAAAAGAAGCACCTCTACCTAAGGGTACAGGCACGTGGCCCCCTGTGATTGGAACACCCCATTCCTCCTCCAATGAACAATTTCGTGGTGCTGAACGATTTCAAATATAAAAACAAGTTTCAGAATTCAGAGGGGAAAATAATTAAAAATCCCTGAATATCGGGTGATTAGGAATCCTCTCCATTGCCAAACAGCAGAGGTAATTTCCAAGTGATTGAAAACTCAAGTGCATAATAAACTGTAATCTCCCTGGAAACGTACTGGTCACTGAGTAAAGAATCCCAAGAAGAACCATTCATGAGGAAGATTCAAAAGTGTTAGAAATGTTTTGAAGGGTGTGGTAGTGTTTTAAAAAGTGAACTTTTAAAAAGTGGATTTCATGAGTTTACATCATAAATTGTTTAAAGGTTATATTTTTTTTGTGATGCACATAAAGTTTTGCAGTTTAGCAATTCTGCCTTGGGATATTAACCAGCTTGTAATCTTTAATTTCCTAAAATATATCCATAGTAATCGAGCGGCATTTTTAATTCAGGGAAATAATATTACTGTAATTATTATAACTTTTCAGTGATGAAATGTTTATCTCATTTAGCAGAAAGAAAACTGAGCTAAAGGGGTAAATAATCTCCAGAACCTCATCTAATGAGAGCAAAAAAGGACTCCTGATGCGTGCATTTGCTGGGCCCATAGTCAGAAATGGACACCCCCATGGATATGGATACCCAGCTTACACACAGCACAGTGCCCTGTCTCAGGCAGGAGCCCCTGGGGAAAAGCCACAGATGACAGCCCCTCCTCTTGACACACAAAGGCACAATATTCCCAAATCATACTGTGAAAATAGCACATTTGCATTTAGGATTTGATGTCAGGTGGGAGAGGAAGATGTGGAAACAGCACAGAATGTGGTAGAGGCTGAGTCACACAGTTCCAATAGTGCGTAATTCATAATCTAAATGAGTTTTGAGTGCCAACTGTGTCTGCCTTGTGTTCAGTCCTGGACCTCTTGCTGCCCTCACACAGCCCCCTTGTCAAGACAAGGACTCATGAGGAGCTACAGGCTGGATGTGGCTATTTGGCTCCCAAATGGTGATTTTATGATCAGGTTGATAAACGATGTCACTTAGAAACACAAATACCATATTGTGTTATTTAGTTTATTTAGAAAGAGTCTTATTCTGTTATGACAGCTAGAGTGCCATGAGGTCAGCCTACCTTACAGCAACTTCAAACTCTGGGCTCAAGCAATCCTCCTGCCTCAGCCTCCAGTGTAGCTGAGACTACAGGTGACCTCCACAATGCTTGGCTAATTTTTCTATTTGTAGTAGAAACAGGGTCCCGCTCTTGCTCACGTTGTTCTCAAACTCCAATAATCGCCTTGGCCTCCCAGAGTGCTAGGATTACAGGTGTGAGCCACCACACCAGGGCTCACGTTGCGTCTTTTAAATCCACGCCCTGTGAGTTCCTCACTCTGCTAACTTCGGAGGTTGCCTGACTTCTCAGTTTCATAACTTCCCTGTGATTCAGGCAGGGAGCTAAGTGCTGCCCCAGGCTGGAGCAGATCCAACCTGCTCACAGTTCCACAGCATCATTTACCAGCCTTAACCTAAACCTGCCCTCGGAAGATCTGTCATCTGCCGGTGACAGGAGATGGCAACTATTAAAGTCGCCCGAGCTGGCCCTTCCTGGGGCTCCTAGTTGTAGATGCCTCTGGTGCCTCCCTGTACCCGTGGGTTAACGTTTGGGGAACTCTTTCTCATTTAATCTAATTTAAATTTGCTAACCAACATTATTCGAGGCTAACTGTCTGACACCAGCAATAAACCACTTTCTTGGGTCAGCTTTCATCAGTGGCTGAACACAAAGAATTGGAAATAGCCTTAGTTTTACTTGGTTCCTGGAGGGCAGAGGAACAGTATATTAAATCAGACCTTCATTAAAAAGTCAGAATTGTGTCCCTGCTTTAATCTAGAGCAAATTAAACCTATGAATCATTGAGTCTTTCTCTACCCCTCAGAATCACCCACTTATCCGTCAGACAGATTGAACATCAAGGTGTCCAGGACTCCGTTAGATGCTTAACACACATCATTTTTAAGCCTTCATGGCAACCTAAGGGGGCATATGTTATTATCCCCATTTTACTGATGGGGAAACTGAGGCTCAGAGTGGTTAAGTGACTTGTTTCCCAGAGGCCATAGACAATATCGAGCCATGTCAGTAGGAATCTACCAACCCACTACCCCTGTTAGCTGGTGAGGAGGTGTGGGGTTGGGGGACAGGAAGATTCTGTGAAGTAGTTGACAGTGAGACCATGTGGTTTGCTTAGGACATGTAAGTTTCACTTTGAACATGAAAGCAGTCATAATAATGTAACTTATGTCCTTCAAGAAGCTAGGCTGACACTTCTGTGGTCATGCCGCTATGAGTGGTTAGATACGTCTATGTTTATCTGAAGGATAAGGATGATTTGTTATTTGCCAATGGTGCCCAAGAATTTTTCTTCTCACCCCTCTTCTCTCCCCCCGGGCTCCCTGGGCCTAAAGTCCCCCATCTAGGACAAGGCTTAGCGTCCACGCAGGGAAGAAGAATGTAAAGAACTGAGGTATGCTTCTGTGCTCTTTTCAACAGAGTCTGGGCGCAGCTAGACTAAAAGACGAAGAGAGAGAGAATTTTTACTGCCTTGTAGACATGTGGAGGAGTCTGCCTGTCTCCCGGCCCCTGATCGGCCCAGTAATCCATCACCTGTCCCTCTGCCCTCACTCCGGCACGCACCAGCAGTTTGCACCCGCCCAAGGCGCACATTAGCTTCAGCACCTGAACCAAATAACTTGGCTTCCTTTGACTGAAGCCTGCTTTGCTGGGCTGAGACCACTTTACTCAGAGGAGCCTGAGGGCAGGTCAGGTTAAGGGGAAGAAGGACTTCTAGAGTGAGTAGAACTAATACTTTAATGGAAGGTTTCTGTTTCAGCATTCCTGGAAAGTGTGTAGCTTAATCCATTATGTTCTTTTTACTTTGATTGCTTTGATGTTTTAAGTTTTTACTTTTTGCTAAAAAGAATCACATATTAAAACCACATCATATGTTTTAATTGTGGGAAAGGACAGGCGATGTGGCATGTTGTTTAAATAACACAATGTACAAGAAAAAATTACAAGGGAAGGAAAGGGGGGAAACTTTTAAAGAATCATTTGCTATCCAATCTTTAAAAGATACTGCTTCTTGTCTTTTCTTCATCATTCACTAGTGCTTGAATTTTTTTCTATAATGCCCCAGTTAGTATATATAATACATGAAAGAAATATACATATAAAGATTTGCAGCAATAGTCCTTTTTCTACTGACAAGATTATTTTTGTCATCAGCACCAGGAATATTTTCTTAAATATTTTCTTTATTTTCAGGCTTTGACAATATAAATCTATTTATACACAGAATCATATCTGTGCATGCATTGGAGAAATAAAATTAAAATGAGATTTATAACAGGAAAAAGTTGTACATTTTCACGTCACTGGCAAGATGAATGTTTCCACATTCTGATCTGTCAGTAGGGACCCCACTCCCAAGCTCACATTTGACACAGGCACATCCGTACAGCCCATCACAGTTCCCTTGCTGGCCTAATGAGGCATCCACAGTGAAAAGGACTTTCTGCACAAGTGAGAGTAGAGCGCTGAGTGTTTGCTGAGACGGCGGGTCCAGCTCCCCATCCCCCAGGCCAGCCTTCTGCAGAGCCTCAAAGGTTCTGTGGCCTTTGAGAAACAGAGACACTGAGATGGGAGGTGATCACGCTTTATAAGTAAATGCTCTTGAATGACTGATGGAGTAAAATGTCCAGCAGAAAGCAGACATTTGGGGTGCAGTTTTGTATTTAGAGGAGCAGACCCCAACAACTGAAACGGGCCCTTCTAACATGCATCAGACTAGCTCGAGTAAAGCGAGGGTGATGACGACCTCTTGTTGAGTGCCTTCCAAGAGCAGAAGTTTATAGCAGTGACTTCTACTGAAAGCTCATAGTTAATGTAGGTGATTTTAGGTTAACTTTACAAATGAGAAGACCACGGCTCAGAGGGATTAGGTGACTTGCTCTGAGGGGCAAGGCGGGTGTCCAAAATTCAAAGCCGGGCTTGTGTGACCCCCAAGTGCCTGCACCTCCTTCCTACGTAATACACAGCAATGCCCAAGAAATGCTGTGTTTTGGGTCCTAAACCTCTCGCTAGAGAACTTGATCTGTTGTGTCCTATTCCTGTGACTCAGCATAGAATCATGACTCACTTTGGGCTTTATTACGAAATGTAGGCAATATGGTTTGAAAAATAGAAAGACGACTTACTTTGTTCTTCATCATTAACACTATAACTTAGTAAATATTATTTTAAAAATTAAGGGAGATTCTTAAATGAATACAATGTATAGCTTTCAAATAGGAGAGAGAGAACAAAAACTTGATGCAAGAACTTCAACATTATCCGTCACATCTGGCCTACCGCCTGTTTTTGTATGGCCCACGAGCTGAGTGACTTTTACATTGCTTAATGGCTGGAAGAAAAAAAAAACCTCAAACAAAAAGAATATTTTATTACACGAAAAATTTATAACACTGAGATTTCAGCACCCATAAATACAGTTTTACTGGAACAAGCATGTCCATTTGTCTATGTGACATCTGGGTTGTGTCAGTGATCTATGGACAGAGTCAGGAAGCGGCATGAGGGACGTATGAGGTTCTTTCCATACACACGGAAAATCTTTTTTTTTTTTTTTTTTTAATATGGAATGCTTCACGAATTTGTGTGTCCCTCTTGCCCAGCGGCCCTGCTAATCTTCTCTGTATCATTCCAATTTTAGTATACGCACTACTGAAGCACGCACCACACTGAAAAGCTTGAATGGACCAGGACCATGTCACCAGGACAGAGTGACGTGTCCAGAACAGTCTTCTCAGGGCCCTATGTGTTGATTGACCATAACTCACATTTTCTCTTACCAATCATATCAAAACAAGAAAAAAGTAAGTTTCAAATCTTGCAATTCTAAGGCACAGTGGAATGTGGATTGTGTTGTTGCTGAATCAGACAATGCAATGTTGTGTTTATTATACAATGACGGTGCACCTGCTAAAAGAACACCCCCTCCATCAGCATGACCAAGCAATATTGCTTCCTAGTAAAAGCCATGGTGAGGAAAATTAGAAAACTTAAAGTGGGCTCTCTCACCATGGAGGAATTTCTTTATAAAAATAAGAAAATGAAAATGAAGCTGCAACCAAATGGTGTTTCCAAGTGCCTTGTTTTTGAGCCAAGCAGGGATGGCCATGCATCCATGATGAGTTAATTAAGTCATGCTTGATTGTAGCACTCAAAGAAATGTGCCCAGAAAGTGTCCAGAAACAATGAACTTGTTTAAGACTATTAGCTTTTTGTTTCAACTTCATACTGTTATAATTGACATATTATAATTTGATTGTTGTCAGTAAATTTTTGTGATAGTTTTTTTCTCTGTTGCCACAGAAATATCACAAACTATCCTTGTTTTGCCCTGGATCCACCAAGCCTAACATGTTCACTATCTGCCTTTCCAGGAAAAAAGGTCACTGACCCCTGACTTACCAGGTAACACAAAAGAAGAATAGGAAAGAATATTCAACAGCAAGCACTAAATGACGTATTAGAAAGAAATCCCAATGCGTACAGCATCCTAACACACTAACACATGTAAATGGCTCAACTCCACTAACAAACAAAGGGGAGTAGATTTGCATATTTTTGACCTAGCTATAAGATGTTAACAAGAAATAGATCCGGAATAAGAACTCAAAGATAATTTAGAGACAGAAGAGCAAGTCAAATGTTAACTTAAAAAGTGGATTTCAAGTCAAAAAAGAAGAAACCACCACAATGATAAAATAATTGACCATAAATAAGATAGAGGATATACGCAAACAATACTATAGGCTTGTAAGGAAGAAAGGAAAACTGACAGAAATGAACAAATTTAACAGACCACTGAGTAGTACCAAACTAACAAAAAAAAAAAAAGAAAGAAAGAAAGAAAGAAAAAGAAATTAGTAAGGTTATAGATTCGAAAATCAAAATCACCAAAATTAGTATCATTGATATAGAATCTCTCACGAAATATAATAATAACATATATTCTTTAAAAGTAAAATATTTTATTTTATAAACAGGCCACAGACTAGGTCACAAAGGGAAATCTCAGCAATGATCAAAGAACCTTGACACGCAGATGATGTTCTGATCACGATGCAGTTAAATTAGAAACCAACAATAAAATATCATTAAAAAGGTCTGGATACTAACTCAAATTCTTAAAATTCACAAATTAAATTCATAAGGATGTCATGGGTTTTAAGAGAGAATAGACGTGAACAACCGTGAAAGTGCATCTGAGACGCCGTTAGGAGGAAGTGTTGACGTTACATGGATTCAAAGGACTTATTTAGGGAAAAAATATAAAAATAATTGTCATGTTTTCAATGAAAGAAAATAGAAAACAATGAATTTAAAGGACCAAGAAGGAAGGAAATAACAGTGAGAACAGACCAGTGAAACAGAAAACAACGGACAGAGTCAACAAACTTTGAAAAATGGAGAAAGGCAAAATGTCAGCAAGACAGATGGAGAAGAAGGAAAAAGGGAATGAAAAGCTCCATTAGGAGGGATGAGCCCCTCAGTCGCTCCCTGTCCTGTCCCTGAAGGGCCTGTTGTACGCAGAAGTCCTCGGCACACACATGTCTACTGGTGGCTCCACGTTCTCTCCCCAGCACACACGTGTCCACTGGTGGCTCCACGTTCTCTCCCCGGCACACACGTGTCCACTGGTGGCTCCACGTTC